TGACAAGGTCCAAAAACGCATTGTAAATGTTGTTGGACCTGGACTATCTGCTAAGCTAGAACCTCTTTCCCATCGTCGTAAAGTTGCATCTCTTTCTCTTTTCTACAGATACTATCATGGTCACTGCTCAAAGGAGTTATCATTTCTAGTTCCATCAACTAAAATTCATTCTCGTTTTACTCGTCATTCAGCTAAGTCTCATTCGTTTACTGTATCTGTCCCTGCATGCTCTAAAAACTTTTATTCATCTAGTTTCTTTCCCCGTACTTCAATCCTTTGGAACTCTCTCCCATCTTCATGTTTCCCTGACTCATACAACCTTCAACTTTTTAAGTTTTCTGTCAACCGTTTCCTTGCTCTATAACTCTGTTCTTTTTTTTTTCCTAGTAACTCCCAACTTAATAGTGGTTGCTTGCAGCCTTGTTGGGAGTGAATGCAAATAAAAAAAAAAAAAAATTATTTTGTAAATGCAATGCATTTTAGTGAAGCTGCACCGAGCAGTGTACGCCTTAGGGATGAATAATAAGTTAAAAAGAATTGAGCAGAGTGAGATAAAAGTACAAAAGAACAGATGTCCAGAGGAAAACAAAGAGCCTCAAAGTGGAAAAATATTAAAAACTGATATGAGTAAAGTGTAGTAAAAAGTAAATAAGAATAATAAACAACAGTCAAGGAAAATCATTAGTTGTTGTGCTATTGAATTGTTGTTGGGGTCCAGCGTAAATGTGATTTGTAGATAGAATTGGTAATGGAGTAGAATTATTTGTTTTATAAGTAGTCACCATGTGGTTTGTATTCTTAGGGTATAAACATTCATTATAGATGTAAGTGTCATGAACGTCTCGAGTACAGTATGGTTTCGTGCCCTATGGTGCAGTGCGAACGCATAAAGACCTCCATCTTTCATCCGAAACTGGTATCCCAAAAGAAGTTCTACTCTGGGTCTACACCAGGGTATCTTTTTAAAGGTATCCCATTGTGTTATCCCAAAAGGACTATTCTCAGAGTATAGTCAGGAAGATTGACACAGACTCCTGAATTGACACTGGGACCAGAGGACTCTTAGTGAGGTTAAGTACAACTTGCAAACAGTAGTAAGTAGTTTTTTGACATGAGTGTCTATTCGGTGCAGTGGTTTGTCAGAGTCAATGACAGTTGTGAACTGTTTTGAGTTCTTATAACTATGTGTGTTATGCAAGTAGATAATGCAGTGTACGTGTGTTTGATTACTTTTGTAGCAAGTCTTGATAGTGAGAGATATCAGTATAAAAATAGTTGAAAGTCTTTTAAGTTGGTGTTACATAAGGTAGACATGAGTACTATAAGTCTAATATAGATGTATCATTAAAAAATATCATAAATAAATAACAAACTATTACATCTTGATAAACTAGAAATGCTAAACAGAGCTATATTAATAGGGCACCAATGACTAGTGTATGTGTATTGCAACTACTAATCTAAAAATATTTATTAATTCATAATCTAAAATTATATATAGAAGTCATGTAGTCTAATAGTTTATTGTAAGTGTTACATAAGTGTAATTTGTATTTTTTATGTGACAAGTTTAACTGTGCATGTCACGTGACTGTAATGTAGTCAGGAGTATCTGAGGTCGAGTGGAATTATTTGTTTTCAAAACAGTTAGCAGGTGGACTTTAGTCAGTTAAACACAATGTAGGTATAGCATGGCTGACTTTGTGTCATTTACAGTAACAGATTAATAATAAGAATACTATGATATAAGGAATAATTATAGAAGAAAACCAAAATAAAATTTAAAAAGAGGATAGTAAAGTTTTAATTCAGAATGTGAGGTGTATGTGCATAAGCATATGTTTGTTGCTGTTGTAAGTACTCTTCTTTGTAAATATTGTGAGGTAAATAAATTTACCTCTGTTACATGTGGTTGTCAGGAAGATAGTCGTTGCTCCGCAGTCCACGCGGACATAAATACTTTTTGTAAATGCAATGCATTTTAGTGAAGCTGCACCGAGCAGTGTACGCCTTAGGGATGAATAATAAGTTAAAAAGAGTTGAGCAGAGTGAGATAAAAGTACAAAAGGACAGATGTCCAGAGGAAAACAAAGAGCCTCAAAGTGGAAAAATATTAAAAACTGATATGAGTAAAGTGTAGTAAAAAGTAAATAAGAATAATAAACAACAGTCAAGGAAAGTCATTAGTTGTTGTGCTACTGAATTGTTGTTGGAGTCCAGCGTAAATGTGATTTGTAGATAGAATTGGTAATGGAGTAGAATTATTCGTTTTATAAGTAGTCACCATGTGGTTTGTAATGCAAATGAAAAAAAAAAAAAAAAAAAAAAATTAATCTTCATTTTTGTCTTGACAACTGTCAAAATATGCTTTGTCTAATAAATAATTCTCCTTTATTCTAATGTACTTCATTTCTTCCCTCAGGCGTTCACTGCTCGTGTGTGACCATTCAGAGAATTTTATATGCCAAAGTTTTTAAATAATAAATACAAACCTTCATCCTCAACAATTTGGGACATTCTATTAATTCGATATAAAAAATAAAAAGAAATATGCTTAAAAACAAATTTCTTTTTACATAAAACATACTTGCAGGACAATATAACTTTAAATTTAGGTAAATACCATAGAAATAGATTTTTTCAAATTATTTTAATTAGTAAGTAAAAACTAGTGATTATTTTAGAATGTAATAATTAAAAAAATATATATAACATGATAAGATGTACATTTATAACATGATAAGATGTACATTTATTACATGATAAGATGTACATTTATATATAAAAATACTGTATATTGACATGTCTAAAGTAAAAAATAATATCTCCTATTAGTCTTAATAAAAACAAAAAAAAATTATTTTCTATAAAAGTATTGTCCTAGATGCAGGATATCTATGAAGAGGACATTTGTGTATACAATTTTGTACACAAAATTTTAGTTGTGAGTATCAGATAAAATGCTTGTTTATATTTGCCATAAGTATTACCCATAGGGATGTTTTTTATGCTAGTTGTCATTCAAACTTTTGTAACAAAATATTTTTACACAATTGTCATCAAAAGTTAATGTGGTTTTTTTAAAATTAATTACTTCTTTAATCTTACCGTTTATTGAATAATTTAAAAGTTAAAAAAAGGTAAAAAATCGCTTAACCAAAATCGTTTGCTGCTTACATAAAATTGCCTATGGTGTACGTAAATCGCTTAATGCGTAACGCTTTAAAAGAAGGCCTACAGTAGTGTCCGAAACTTTGCGGACTAGTTAACAAAATTGAGTTTTATTAATATTTTAATATATATTTCACTAAATCCAAAATATTAATTAAAAGGATTTTATGTTTGCGATTATGTTTTGAACAATTATTTAGTTAATATTTTTTAATTGGTTTACAAAAAAAGGATTTTTGATCAATTCAAAAATTTGCGGACAAATCATTTATTTAAAAAAAAAAAAAATTTGCGGACAAATCATTTATTTAAAAAAAAAAAAAATTTGCGGACAAATCATTTATTTTTTTAAAAAACACAAATTTGCGGATGAATCATTTATTTTTTTAAAAATCACAAATTTTTCAATAATATTTGATAAAAAAATTGTGTTAAAAAAATTCACATTATTATGTAGAACATCCAATACAATCAAGCATGACTTGGCATATATGAGACATAAAGTCAACTAAATTAAAGCAAATGTCAATGGAAATTGAGTCCAGTGTTTTGTTAATTTTGCAAAATAAATCAGCATTGTTTGTAGGTTTAATGCTTTTTATTTGACAATCAACATGCTCCCATGAATGTTCAATAAAATTTAAGTCAGGTGATTGAGATGACCACTTTTTGTAAATCTTTTGAACCAGTTTAGTTGTATGTTTGAGATTGTTACCCTGCTGATAAATCCATCCTTGAAGTATTTTATCCATTGTATGAAGTAACATAATGCTCTTTTTTTTTTTTTTTATATATTTCTTGATCTGTAGTCTCTATAGAGCAGACCAACCCCATCCCAACTAAAACATCTCCAAACTATTACATTACCTCCTCCATGTTTAATGGTGAGCAGTTAATATTTAGAATCATATCTTGTACCTACAGAAAGTCAAGCATACCTGATTCCATCTGGTCTGAACATCATAAACTTGCTTTCAACACTAAAGAGAATCTTTGACCATTTTTAACTACTCTAGTTTAGATGCTCTGTTGCAAATTCTTTTCGCGTGTTTCAGTTTTTTAAGGAAATCAATGGCTTCTTAGTTATGCATTTTCCAAAAAAATTAGCATGATTTAAAGGGCATTTTGTAGTAGAAATACTAAAACTCCAAAGAAATATCTTATTTGTAAATATTTATTGGGAGTGTGTTGTCTTTTGTGGTCCTGATTGCTTTTGATTCTTTGTAGATTCAGTAAATTTATGTCATTTCATAATTTTTCCAACTGATTCCATAAAGACTCCATCACTTACCGACTCTATAAAGTGCTGTCTTATGAAATAAATATTTGCTTTGAACTGATCTCAAGATCAATTTTTACTAGAGATGAGATACATTTCTTAGATCCCAATCTTCTTAGATCTCAATCACTTATAAATTTTTTAATATTTTTCAATAACTGTTTGTTACAATATCAAAAATTTTGTGATTTTGTGGGGAAAATCTAAAAAGCTTTAGTTTGTCCACAAATTTTTGAATTTATCAAAAATCATTATTTTGTAAATCAATTCAAAAAGTTAACTAAATAATCAATATTTTTTCAAAAAATAATAGTAAACATAAAAACCTTTTTATTAGTATATAATATGTTGGCTTTAGTGTAGTATGTGCTGAAGTATGTATTAGTAAAATTCAATTTTTTTAATATGTACACAAGTTTTTGCTGCTACTGTATAGTGTAAATCCAGAGTTGAATACTGTTAATGATTTACTGAAAATATAAAATGTAATTAAATAATATAAATAGTATTAAATGTAATAGAAATTAATTATAGTTATTTTTTTTTATAGAAAAAATAAGATTGAAGATGATGTAAGCAAAATGGAGGAAAGTGTTGACATTAAGGTAAACATAAACAATGCTTATAGTTGGAATTTTTATATATATTTTCATTACACATTATTTAGTTCAACAGTTCAGTTCAGAGTTTTAGTTCACTGAATAAATTTGCATTTTTAAAATCATTTTAGAAAAAAAATTCTCAAGAAGAAGAAACAGCTTTGAAAAATATGCAAGCTGATAAAAACAATAACTTGAGGTTTTTTTGCTTCTTTTTTTTTCCTATTATTTGTGTATATATGTAGTTAAAACATTAAAAGAAGAATTAAACATATAAAATATAATTAAACTATACAATTTAAATTCAAAAAAGAAAATTAATAATTTTTCTACATTATTTAACAGAAGTAATATTTATAAAATAGGTAATATGTGTGAAGTTTAATTTACTTCAGTTTGTGACCATGGTATTATTTGTAGAAAAAAGAAAGAGATTCAACTTTACAACAATGGGAAAGAGGCTCAAGCTTAGCAGATAAAGCAGATACAACTACGTTTATAATGCATTTTTGGACCTTGTCAAGAAGAGAAAGTGCATCATTTGAAAAACCAGCCCAAATTTGACAGCAGTATTCCATACAGTAATGAATAAGAGGTTTGTAGAGGTAGAAAATGGAATCAGAAGAGAGAAAATGGTAAGCACAATAACAAGTAGCAACCTCAGCAGATGCTAATTTAGCAGTCGATTGTATATATGGTTTCTATGAAAGATCAGAGGTAAACAATAATCCAAAAAGACGTAAAGAAGAGGGGTGAGAGGGATTTTTTAGTATAAAAATGTCGGCAGTATTGCAATAGTTGTTTTGCAGTAAATAACTGAGTTAAATTTTATATTATTTTACAAATTGTAAATTTGTTGAAGTTCAAATTTACAAGCCACTGTGAGCCCTAATCTGTTTCTGAAGTGAGATCAAATTCAAGATATGTTCTAAGCAATCAAAACAAGAAGACTTTTTGTCAAGATATGAGTATAAAGTTAAGTTATTAGCAAAAAGAGCTACTTTAGATGTAAGGTTGTTGGGAAGATCAATAATTTAGATAAGAGACACAACAGGACCAAGGACAGAACCTTGAGGTACCCCTGAAGTTAATATGAAATATAGAATTGAGGATGGCTTTAGTAAAGCGATTATAAAGAGAACATTTGATAATCTCAAAAACTTTCCCAGATACACTATATGAAACAAGCTTATGGAGAAGACCAGCATCCCAATCTTTGTCAAAGGTTTTAGATATGTAAGAGCAATAACTCTAGCCTCTCTGCCTCTATCTTATGCACAATAAAATCCTTCAGTCACAGCAGTATCAGCAAGTCAGCCGTAGAGCAAGAGGATTAAAAACCATATTGATTTTCTGACAACAAGTTATTTGATTCAAAATGATAAGAAACTTGTTGATCAAAAACTCAAAGGCATAGCTGATAACAGAAAGAAGACTGATCAAATAATAATTGGAGGGATCAGAATGTTCTCCTGAGTTTTTGTATATTAGAATAACAGATGCTGTTTTCCAGCATGCAGGAAAACAAGACTCAGTCAAGCACTTATTAAATACTTTAGAGAGAATTGAAGAGAGTTCTAGAGAACAATTTTATAAGACTATGACAGGAATGTTACTTGGACCACAAGTAGTAGAAGAGTTCAATCGAGATATGAATTTTGCAATGGAAGCTGGAGTGATTTAAATGTCTAACAATGGGTTAATCTGTTTAATTGGATTTGAAGGAAGAAAATGGCCAAAAGATTTAAGAGTCCAATTTAAAGAAAGGTTTTTTGCAAATAGCTCTGCCTTATCCTTGGGAAAGGTAATAAGATCAATTTTATGACTGAGAGACTTTCCCTTAGTAATGATGCTGTTGAAGATTTTCCAAAAGTCTTGTTTTCTGAGATAAGATGTGAGATTTAGTTAACTGAGAATAATGAAACTTAGCATCGTATCACTTTTTACATCGATTTCTTGCAATAATAAATAGCCCCGCTGGTTCTCAAAAGAATTTTTCTTTTGAAAAAGATAAAAAAAAAGATTACAATTAGATATAGTACAAAAAATATGAAAGCCATGGCGTGGAATGAGGCTTGACTTGGAACTGATGAGGAGGAATAAAAGCATCTATTTCTGCTTTAATCCATGAGTTTACTTAGGAGGCGCATTTTTCAGCTGAAAGGAAAAAGACATCAGCCTAAGGATCCTCATGTCAGCTTTAAGTAGGTTTGTTGAACCCAATTATTTGTTATTTGGGTATTTGGGGTTTTTAGCACTATTTGTGGTCACCCAAATTTTTTTTATTTTTACCCAAATATTTGTACACAAATAGTGCAAAAATTTTCAAATTATTTTTAAGCATTTTTTTACAAAATAACTGTCACATTTAAAAAATTGCTATTTTAGGTTACGTTGACTAACCTAAAATTTTATTTAAGAAAATGACAAGTGAAGTGTGGAAACATTTTGTAAAAATCAGGCAAAATGTCAAGTTGGCAACTGTAATGAAGTTTGTACGATTGTTAATTATAGAACAACGAATTTGATGAATCATTTTAAATTGAAACATGGCATGGATATATCTATCTATAGAAAGAATACATCAGAATCAAGAGAAGGTCCAAGTAATCAAAAAATTCAATGTCCAATAATAAGTTTTTCAGTTCAAGAGTCTAGAGAGTTGTTAATATCAAAATGTGCAGCCAAAGATGGATTTTTAATTAATCAAATAATAAATTTGGATGCTACTAAATCATACTTGTCATCACAGGGTCATCAAATGCCCAAATCAAGATCAACAGTTTAGGAAGACATTAAAAAAATACTACAAAGAAGTTTTTAATGAATTTGTGTTAAAAATTCAAGAGCCTAAAGTCATGGGAAAGAAATTTAGTACAATAATTGATGAGTGAACTGATAATACATTCAAGAGATATTTAAATATCAAAAATCGCGACAGCACTGAATCTAAGTAATTTGCATTAACTTCTGTTGGATCGGGTAGTTGTAATGCTGAAAAATTAAAAACAATTGTCAGAAAAAAACTCCAGGACATCAAACTTGACATTTCAGAAAATATTGTCTTAATTATAAACGATGGAGCTTCTGTAATGGAAAAATATGCTACCTTGATGCCATTTGAAAGTCAACTTTGTTACAATCATGGAATAAATTTAGCTATTGTTTACTTTTTATATCAAAAAGATCGTGAAGAGATGGATGAATATAATGATAATGTTGAACTTGATGATGAAGATGAAGATTTTGATGAAAAACTAGATTTTGATGAACAAGAAAGTTTTTTACCAATGGAAAAATCCTACTTTGATATTATATCAGTTATTTGAGGATATGTTAGAAAATTTCGAAAATCTCTATTGAAAATTTCTCGCTTAAAAGAAAATGTCCAAGAAACAACAGGAAAAGAGTTAACTCTATTAATTGACTGCAAGACAAGATGGAATAGTGTACTTCTTATGTTGCAGAGATTTTATGAACTGAAAGAAATTGTAAAATCTACAATAATTGAATTTGAAGGTTCATATGATAACAGCATTAAAACTAAAGTTAAAGACATAATGGATTGTTTGATTCCTGTTGAAGACGTTGTTAAAATATTAAGTTCTAAATGCTGCAATTTGATGGTGGCAGAAGGATCATTTATCTATTTATTTAACACACTCAACGCACAGGAAAGTGATATTTTGCAAAAAATGCTTGAAAATTTAAAAACCCAAATTGATTTACGAAGAAATGTTAATTTAATATCAACATTGATTTTTCTTCACACTGGTGATTATCCAAAAGAAAATGATTATTTTAAATGTTTGTCAAAATTAACTATTAGAAAAAAAATTAAGGAACTCAATACAAGACCATTTGCGGAATCATTGTTGGAGGAAAATGATGATGAAAATGATTCAAATACAACATCCAAGCCTGATGACACTATCAATCACTTTGTAAACCATCAGAAAACAGTCAAAACTTCGATTGAAAATTAAATTAAGGCGTTTGAAGGAACAAAAGAAGGTACAGATAAACTTCAGATGATCTATGATGCCTTATTAACTGTGCAAGTAACATCCAACAGACGTTGAAAACTTTGAGTCTTTTCTGTAGCTGGAAACTTCAAGACTAAACTTCGTAATAGAATGAAAGGAGAAAAATTGAATATGCATATATTTTTAAAATGTCAATTTTCAATATGCTTGTATTTTTAAAATATAAGCTAAAATTTGAAATGAAATCAATTGATTTTTTTCATGCATTTTACTATTTGGTATTTGTACAAATATTTGGTGGGTCACTATTTGGGGTGTTTAGTATTTGTACATATAGTGAAAACCCAAATATTTGGCATCCCTAGCTTTAAGGTAGTAGTAAGTAGAGCAATAGGTAACTCTGAAAATTAAGTACAAGATGAAAGATTTAAAAAGATCATTGCATGGTCAGAACCACCTATAGGAGATAAGGGATAAACTGAAAACAAGCTAGGATCAGAGACAAGACAGAATTCAAGGAGTGATGGTAAATAATAAGGTTTGTCAGTGAAAGAGTCACAAAGTTAACTGGCTATGAGATTGAGAAATGCAGAAGTTATAGGCAGTTATAGGTCAGTGGCGTTAGAGCCAAATCATTCAGTGTGATGACTATTAATGTCACCAATAACAATATTGGCAGAGGGGTAATGAGAGAGGGTATGGTCAATTTGATTATAAATTACATCTAGGAGAGTGCAGTCTTGAGAAGAGAGAGAACAATAAAGAACAAAGAAAAAAGGCGTTAGAGAGAAGAGGTCTTAAGCGGAAGCACATATAAGAATGGTCATAATAGAAAGTTTCATTTATTTTATTCGCATAAAAGAAAATTTAGTTTGTTTATTATATTTAATACATTCTTTCTAGAAGAAAAAAACATATTCTTTCAGAATGATGTTTTTTTATTTAATTCTTACATAGAATAAAAATAAAAAAACTCCCACAACCCCTTATCTTTTTATAGTTTTGGTATTTAACTTAAATGCTTTTTAAATATATGACAAGAATATTTGCTAAATAAGTTATACAAGTTTTACAAGTTTTTAGGGATCTTCCATAATTTATGCAATTCTAAATTTCACTAATATACAAAACTAAACGGATCAAAAGTTTTCCCTCACAGAGCCCTAAGTTGAATAAAAAATTAAAATAGCACATTAAGTTTAATGAAAATTACCACATAAAAGAACTTAAGATCTTCTATTTCTGTTTTTAAAAATAAACTTAACATGCATATTTTATGAACGATCCCTTAAATCTTTTAGTTATAAGAGCAATTAATTTAAAGTAATAAAAACCATTCTTCATATTTAAGTTATTAAAAATTTGTTATACTATTTGTTATACTAGATTTATGAAAAGTTATACATTTTTTTAAAAGACTAAAAATTTAAAATATTTACTTTAGAATTAGGATTAACCAACATTTTCGTTATCATAATGTTAATTTTGAAATTGAAGAAGTTAAATGCAAATTGAATATACATCAAGTAAAATTTTTAGTTTAATTAGTTTTTTGAAATTGAATACTTTTTTTTTTTTCGTTCTCTGCAAAGCAAGTTTGTGACCATTGCATTTTGTTAGTTTGCTGTTTTTTAATTTAAGAAGCAACAGTGTTTTAAACAAAAAATAACAATAAAAACAGAGTGTGACCATAGAATTACGTTTTGCCATTAAAAAGTTCAATATTTCATATGAACAATTTTGTTTGTAAAGAAGAAAATAATTTCTAAGTATTTTAAAATAATAATATTGTTATTCTTTACAAAATAAATTGACCAGCTGGTTTTGACTTTTAAAAGTCAGGTCATCCTGCTTCTGGTAACATGTAACCCAGTACAATCTGCTTCATGTCCTGCTGCCTTGTAGGATATGCTTTTTTAGGCAAAGGTTAGGAGAAGCCAACTCTGACTTAAAATAACTCTGACTTGACCCTGCCTTGGTGCTTTTGGTTAATTAAGCCTAGATATAGTATCTTGTTAAAAATACTGATCTTGGGCAGATGTTAAACGCATCTGCATACAAAGAAGTAAGTACCACTTAAGTCTTTGCTTCCTAGGCAAAGACTTAAGGGGTTAACAGATTCTATCTGTTGACCAGCCTTGCACCCCTTCTCCATCTATTAGGCTGGCATGTGATGTATTTATAGTACATTGTTTTCAGTTTATGATGTTGAATGCTGGACCTTCTTGACTCAATGCATGGGTTTTGCTTGTGTCTCTGGTTTTATGACTAGGCAACTCATCCTATTATCTCCTAATGAAGGTACAGCTCTAAGACTCAGTTTTATGGTTCTGAGGCCGGCTAGTTATCGGGTTTCCAAACTCCGTTGTTGCTCTCAGAGAGGCTAGTTTCATCAACAGCTGCAAAATATCAGAGTACTAACAGTGTCATGTTGCGCATGAATGGTGTCCCTGTTCGTACTTTTGGTGTGCATTGTCTAGGCTTCATTCAGAGCCCTTTGTTACAGCTTAAGGTTTATTAATAGTAATAAGGCAATTGCTTAGACTATTAAATAGTGTACTGAGTACTATCTATGCTTTGAATCATATGGTCATCTTCATGTCATTCATGGTCATCATATATATCGTTATCTTCTTTTAATTTGTAAAGACTCCAATAGTCACATGCTTGGCCTGGGCATTTACATTTGTAAGAATTCACTCATTTGTCAGGAAACTAGGTTTAAAACCTTTGACTATTCTTTTATGTGCTTTCATTAAGCACCACTTCATATTACCTTTATCTTTGTTCTATTATTTCATTCATTTCATTCTTTGTTCTATTATTTCATTCATATCATATAATTTCATTAAGCACCACTTCATATTACCTTTATCTTTGTTCTATATTGCTCTCCTTCATTTTAAAACTGCACTCTTTTTGATGTTATTTCTGGTCAAATTGACTAAGCCCTCTGTTTTTATCCATCAGCCAATATCCTTGTTGTTGATGACTTTAATGCTCATCACACTGAATGGCTTGGCTCTAGTGTCAGTTACTCTGCAGACGTTAAAGCCCACAACTTTTGCATTTCTCAATCTCTAACTTAAATAGTCAACTTTTAGTCTCGCTTTCCTGACAACCAGAGTTATTTACTTTCTCTACTCGACTTATGTCTTGTTTCTGATCCTAGTCAGTGCTTATTTTCATCACATTCACCCTTAGGTGAATCTGATCACAGTTTGATCTCTCTAAAACTGTTATCTCATTCTTCTTTATCATCATTAGAATCCCTCTATCATCGTACCTCTTATTACTACCTTAAAGCAGACTGGGACTCTTTCTGTGATTTTCTTCCTAATGGCCCTTAATTAGAAATCTTTAGTGTTCCAGCTGACAAATATGCTTCTTACATATCTTCTTGGATTCAGGCTGGCATGGAATCTTTTATTCCCTTTTGGCAATTTCAAATCAAGCCTCACTCTTCTCTATGGTTTTCTTCACATTGTGCTGCTGCAATTTCCAATCAAAACCATTACTTCCATATCTATCAGCAAAATTCACCAGAAAACAGACATCTATTTGCTATTGCTAAAAACCATTGTAAAAAGGTTTTGTCTAACACCAAAGCCTGTTATTCTCAGTTGGAGAATCTTTTATAATATCGATAATAAAGGCAAATCTGTTTTTCCACCACTCTTGTATGGTTTATTTTGTCTTTCGTATCACTCCAGCTTCTGTATCAAAAGTGATGATATATATTTTTGCTAGATGATATATATATCTACATATATCATCTAGAATTAACTCTTACTTTTGGTTTTTCTCAGAAACTATATATCAAGTCCATTGCAAAATTAGCATCTACTATGGTTGCATCTTTTTATTGTGCTTGACACTTTCTTACTCTGGATTTTATTCTTTATCTCTATAAATCTCAAATCTGTCCTTGTATAGAATACTGTTACCATATCTTGGATGGATCTTGCAATAATGCCCTTTCATTTTTAAAAAAGGTGTTAAAACGCATTGCAAACAATGGACCAATTTGCAGCCAACTTTCAATTATTATCGCATTGTCGTAATGTTGCTTTCCTTTCTCTTTTATACAAATTCTATAATGGGCACTGTTCTAAAGAGCTAGCGTCTTTTGTGCCATCTACTAAAGTTTATTCTCCTGTTACTCCTCATTCAATTAAGTTTCATCCTTTTATCTGTGACTCTTCCTAATTGCTCCAAAAACTCTTATTCATCCAGTTTTTTTCCTCAAACATCAGTTCTTTAGAATTTGCTTCCTTCTTCTTGCTTTCCTGATTCATACAATTTGCAATCTTTTAAGTTGTCTGTCAATTGTTATCTTGCTCTATAAACTCTTCCAGTAACTTCCAACTCTAATAGTGGTTGCTTGATGAAGCGAAGATGTTTAAAAAAAAAAATTCATCTATCTGATAATAAGATGGTCTTGAGGACTCACTCTGGTATTTACTGTTATTGAGGAAAAATATATTAACAATACTATTAATTTAAAATTGAATTTTACTTTACACAATGTTTAATTTCTTTCTTTTCTTAGCAAGTTAAAGTTTGTTTAAAAAAATTTCTTTACATAACAAAACAAAAAACTCACAAATTAAATTTAAGATTTCACTTTTTCAACAACTCCTCTTTTTATTGATATCAACTTATCGGTAAGACCAGATTTTTTTGAAAGAAAAAAATCTTTAAGCCTAAAGTTTCTGGTACAGAAAAAAATAGGTTATTAATAAGGTTAAACTTTATTGTTATTAATTCTAAAAATTATTTCCTTTAACAAGTTGAATTATCTCTAAGCTTTTTGTTGAAGGTTTTTTTATGATGTTGACATATTTTGTCCTGGCACTCTTTAAATCATTTATTTAAAAAAATAAATAAAAAGGAAAATCTTTAACAACGAAGCATATGAACTTGAGAATTTGATAAAAAAAAAGTTTTTTTTAAATGTTAAAATATTAAAATATATTCATATTTTTTAAATTGAGTTTTTTTAATCAAGAATAACATTTTTCTATACTGTTTCAAATAAATTATCTTATTTTTTTGTTTAATTTTCTATTTAGGTGCAGTTAAAAGTTATAACTGAAGCAATTCAACTTATAGGTGAAAATGGACCTCCTTGCTACTCTACTCTTTTACCTCCAATACCATCAAACAATGAGGTATAGTTAGTGTGTGTGTGTGTATATATATATATATATATATATATATATATATATATATATATATATATATATATATGTATATGTTTATATATGGGTTAAAAAGACCATTAAAATACAATAACAAATGCGTCAGTCTCAAAACTCAATTAAAAAAAACATAATAAATACAAATAGTTACAAAAAAAAATTTCATAAAATTAACGTCATAATAGTCAAAACAATTGCTTTTCTATTTTGGACTCTGCTCATAGCGAGTATGAATTAGAAATAAATGAAAGCTTGCATATAAAGTGGCAAAGGCCCTGTTTAAATAAACAAGTTATAGTCATGGTGAGGAAGAATAGAATAGAATTCATAGAGTTCATTTCATAGAATTCTTGAACTATTTTGACTATTGTAACGTTGATTTTATGGAAAAAATGTTTTTTAACATTTGCACCTATTATGCTTTTTTTTAATTGAGTTTTGAGACTGACGCATTTGTTATTGTATTTTAATGGTCTTTTTAACCCTTTGTGATGAATTAATATAATAGATTTTTGTAATAAAGTAATCAATTTTTATCCCTTATAAAAATGGTTTTTTAATGATTTTTGTAAATTTTACTGATAATGATCTATGTACTTCGAAACATGTATAACAAACATTTTAAAAGTGTTGTTAATTTTATTCAAATATTTATACTTGTTTTGGTATACTTTGTTATATATTGTATACTTTTTTTTTTAATTTATAAATACAAGTTGAGCATCTTTGAGTGAATAAAGTTCGATAACTCTAAAATACAGTGAGATTACTTTAAAAATATAATTTTTAGCTTTAGTCAAATTTTAATTTAAAGTACAACTCTTGAATTTCAATCAAATTATTCAAACAGGAATTCTAGGAAAAGCATGTTAAGCATTATAATAGGTTTTGAGCTAAAGTATTTAATACAGTTTTTATTATCATTTTACTTGAATAATATATTCAAAAGTAATATTTAAATAGTGAACATCTATGACAAAAAAAACACTTTATAAATTTTTTGAATAAAAAATATATTTAGGGGTCCCTCAAGACCCTTTAACATTTAACAAGTTCCTAATATTACCAAAAAAAAGTTCTTCAAAAGTGTTTCATATTGGAAACACTTTTGTATATCTCAAGTTATATAAAACACTTTTGAAATTATATGATAATTTTAAAAATGATAATTATATTATAAAATTATAATATAAAAATTAGTATTTAACAGCATTAAAGATGAAGTTTATTAGCTAAAAAATGAGAAAAAATGCATTTTTATCAATTTTTTTTAAACAGTTTTTATTCAATGAGTTTTTTATATAATTATCATTTTTTAAATTTTCATATAATTTCACTTCATTTGAGACCCAACATGATACACTTTTAAAGAGCTTTTTTTGTGATAATATTAGGAACTCTTTGGATGTTGAAGAGTCTTGAGGGACCCCTAAAAAAATTTTTTTATTCAAAATTTTTTTAAATTCAGTGTTTTTTTTATCATGAAGAACACATTTTTTGTTTGTTGGACACACTTGTTGTGCTGCCAACTAGGCAGACGCTAAGTTGAAAGTTAACAGTTAAGATTTAGAGAGAGAAAAAGAGGTTGACAAGTAAACTTTAAAATTTTCAAAAACTGTAAATTGAATGAGTCAGGAAAACATATTTTAGCTTAGTGCTCTTAAATTATCTATTTTTCATTCTCATTTACCATTTAGTAAAGTTAACAGAATTGTTATTAAAAAAAACAAAAACAAAAAATCTTATAAGCCCATAGAATAGCCCATTGAATTTTAATTTATTGAACCAGTTGATGCCTCTTATTAACTTGAAACATCCATGTTTTGAAATTAGTTTAAATTTGATTTTTGATTTTATTTTGTATTTTATTTTTGATTTTTTTATTAATTTTATTATTCTTATTTTATTTCCATTTTAATTAACTTTTTTTGTTACTTATTTTCAGAATGACAACAATGAAAAAAAAAGGAGAACAACATTACCAAATTTTCTTCAATTTCGATCGAAAAATGAAATTAATGACGCAAATAATGTTGAAAATAATAATCGAATTTCTAACGACTTGAGTGATTCAAGTGAATCACAGATATCATATGAACAAGTAAGATTTAGTTCTTTCAATGAAAAATGAATTATTTTTTTGAGTAGATGGTTTTAAAAATATTTAAAGTATATATATATATATATATATATATATATATATATATATATATATATATATATATATATATATATATATATATATATATATATATATATATATATATATATATATATATATATATATATATATATATATATATATATATATATATATATATATATATATAAACAGACCTTGTTAAGAAGTTTTACACTGCATTTTACACACGAAATGGTGATTTTACTTACGTGTTAAGCCATTTATGTTACACTAAAACTTTTTTTTAATTTAAACAGTTTTTTTAATTAAAAAAAAATATAAAGTAGTTAATAATTTTTGTAAAAAGTATTTTCATAGCATTTGTAAATTATTATTTTTTGTAGAAAAACAGATAGTTGAATAATTTTTTTTTCTACTACTATAACAACAACAACAACAACAATCTATTTCTTTTCCGTAAATCATTTTACAATAGTTTTGATAATAATGATAATAATGATAATAGTAATAATAGCAAAATTATATATTATAATTATATATTAAAAATAATAATAATAACTAATATAGTGATGAGATGGTGTCACTCAAGCAGAAATCTGATCAAAGATGTGACACTAATTTTTAATGTAATATGAGTAATAATAAGCAAAGACACACACTGAAACACATGGACCGTAAACACACAATCCAAGGCACATAAAATATACATCAAGACAAACATGTAGAAATCAATTTGTAGGTTTTACTGATAAAAAAAATAAACAAAAAGTGCTGATGATAATTGTAGTAATTACGAAAAGAAAATTAAAATATTATTTAAATCATAAGGATAATAATGGCAAAAAGTTAGAAAAAAAAGTTTTTCATAATTTTTTTAAATTGATATTGTTTAAGATGGAGTAAAGGTATTTTAGGATATATTTTTTTGGACTCATTCAAAATGCAATGCATTTATTTTATTTTATTCAAATTAAATTTATTATTAAATATTAATGAATTTATTTCATTAAATTTAATTTAAGTTTTCAAAAAAATTTAAAATCCTTTTTTTTTACAATTTTGTTTTTAGTTTTAAAATGTCTAAACTATATTTAAGAAAAGAAAATTCTTTTTACTAAATTTAATTTGTTTTTTTTTAATGTTCGTTTTACATTGAACTAATCTTTATTTATTTATAATTTCAAATCAATAAGATTTTTTCATCCTGTTATAAAAGCGCTATTATACAAAAGTGCTTAATGCTTATCTATGTTAATGCATTGACAGATTAACCATATTCAAGCTTGTAGGCAAGTTATTTTACAAGAATTTTTTGTAAGTTTTATATAAAAAATTTATGAAAAGATAATTTTTTTTATTTTCGAAATTTTCAGTTTATTTCATTAATTTAACTCTGTTAATTTAACTCTGTTAGTTTAAATTTAACTCTGTTAGTTTAATCATTGAATGGACGTCAATTAGAAACAATTAACTAATTAATGAGACAAAGATTTTGTTAAAGTCAAAATTTAAAAAAAAATTGTTGATAGTTTTTTTTGACTGTTAAGAAATTCTCCCATAAAAGTTTGCCAGATCATTTTAAAAAAAAACTAAATTATAAGAAAGCAAACATAAGATGATAATGTTGAATATCTTAAATATAAGTTTTTTAAAATAAGGAATTGTTTTTTTTCAATCGACATATTTTAATTTCATTGAAAATTTATTTTATAACAATATTGTTTAATTTATAATAATTTTTTTTTTTTTTAATTCTGATTCACTACTAACAATGCTGCAAGCAAGCACTATTAAGTTGGGAGTTACTAGAAAAAATGAACAGAGTTATAGAGCAAGGAAACGGTTGACAAAACACTTAAAAAGTTGAAGGTTGTATGAGTCAGGAAAACATAAAGATGGGAGAGATTTCCTAAAGGTTGAAGTATGAGGAAAAAAACTAGACAAATAAAAGTTTTTATAGTATGCAGGGACAGATACAGTAAAAGAATGAGACTTTGCTGAATGACGTCAATTTAAAAGAATGAGACTTTGCTGAATGACGTCATTCTCAGTCAAGCAAGAATGAGTTTTATTTGATGGAACTAGAGGTGATAGTTCCTTGAGCAGCAATCATGATATATTTGTCTAAAGTAGAAAGAGATGCAACTTTATGATGTATTTGTAGAAAAGAGAAAGAGATGCAACTTAACGACGATGGGAAAGAGGCTCAAGCTTAGAGCAGGGCTAAGCTTGAGTAAAAAAGAGAACTCAGTGAGAGGGTTGCTATTCATTAATATAGAAATGTTGACAGTGTTGTGATTTTGCATTGAATAACTTTTGTTAGGGTTGAAATTTACAAGTTACTGTAAGCCCTAATCTGTTACACAAGTGATATAAGATTCAAGATCAGCTGCCTGTTCTAAGTAATCGAAAAGAGTTTTTCGAGACTTTTTGTCAAAACTGGAGCATAAAGACAGTAGTATAAAGTTCATCAGCAAAAAGAGAAAAACTTTATATCTAAGGTTGTCAGGAAGATCATTAATGTAGATAAGAAACAAAACAGGACCAAGGATAGAACCTTGAGGTACCCCTGAATGTAATGGAAATGAAGAAGAGTGTTTGTCTTCGAGAATGACTTTAATAAAGCAGTTAGAAAGAAATGATTTGTTAATCTCAAAAATATTTCCAGGTAAGCCATATGAAACAAGCTTATGAAGAAGACCATTATGCCAATCTTTGTCAAAGGTTTTAGGTATGTCAAGAGAAATAGCCCTAGCCTCTCTGCCTTTATCTAATGCACAATAAAATCCTTCAATCACAGCAGTTAGCAAGTCAGCCGTAGAGTGAGAGGATTGAAAACCATATTGATTTTCTGACAGCAAGTTATTTGAATCAAGATGGGATGTAAGAAATTAGTTCATCAAAGACTCAAAAACCTTGTGAATAACAGAAAGAAGACTGATTGGACGATAATTCAAGGGGTCAGAATGTTCTCCGGAGTTTTTGAAAATTTTAATAACAGATGCCATTTTTCAGCAGGCAGGAAAACCAGTCTCAGTCAAGCGCTTATTAAATAATTTAAAGAAAACTGAAGAGATTTCTGGAGAGTAATTTTGTAAGATTGTGACAGGAATGTTGTCTGGACCACAAGCCATATAAGAGTTTAATTGAAATATGACCTTAGCAATGGAAGTTGTAGTGATATAAATGTCCAAAAATGGGTTAACTTGTTTAATTGGAATGGAAGAAAGAGATTGGCCATAAGAATCAAGAATTAAATTTAAAGTTTGCAAATTGTTCTGCCTTATTCTTGAGAGGGTTAATAAGATCAGTCCCAAGAATGAGATGGAATGTTAGACCTACCAATGGCGCTGTTGAAGATTTTCCAAAAGTCTCTAGAGCCTTACTTTTGAGATAAGATACGAGATTTAGTGAACTGAGAATAATCAAGCTTAGCATGTGACAATTACAATTACAATTAGATATAGCAGCTGCACAAGATTGTGAAAACTATGGAGTAGAATGAGGCTTGACATGGAACCGACGAGAAAGAAGCTTCCATTCCTGTCTGAGTTCAGGAGGTTGTATAGGAGGCGCATTTTTCAGCTGAGAAAAAAAAAAGGCATCAGCCCGAGGATCCTCACAAAGAAAATCATGAAAAGACTCCCAGTCAGCTTTAGGTTAGTAGCAAGTAGTGCAATGATAGGGTGATTCTAAAAAAGAAATACAAGATGAAAGATTTAAAGAGATTATTGCTTGGTCAGAACAATTTAAGGGAGAAAAAAGAGAAACAAACACAAGTTAGAATTTAATCAAGGAGTAAATTATTAGGGTTGTCAAGAAAATGAGTCACAAAGTTAACTATCAGAATAAGAGATTGAGAAATGCAGAAATTATAGGCTTTAGTGCTAGCAAGGTCAGTGGCATTAGGGCCTACTGGTTTAGTGTAATGAGTATTAGTCACCAATTACAAAAATATTGGCTGAGGGGTAAAGAGAAAGGGAGCATGATCAATTTGATCAGAAATTATATCTAAATGACTGAAGTCTTGGGAAGAAGGAGAATGATAAACAAAGAGAAAAGTGATATAGTGAAGAGGTGCTAAGCAAAAGCACATAAAAGAATGGTCAAAGGATTCAAACCTGATTTCACGACAAATAGGTGAATTGATGTATACCCCTAATAAAGAGAAATATAATAATATTACACAAATTTAAAATTAAAATGTGCTTAAACATCTTTATTTAAAACTTAAAAATTTTAAAACATAAATTTAATACCAACACAGATATGTTAATAAAAGATTTCAGTTTATTCTACGAAACTTTGGATAAACATAATTAGTGCTTAAAAAGTGACACAAATTGAAGCTATAAAAAATATAAAATTGAAAAGTTAAAACAAATTAAAACATGTGTAAGTAATAATGAAAAGACTGTGGTACAGGTATTTTTTTTTATGGATATATTTTTAAAATATAAACAATCAAAATACAATTTTCGGAAAGAAGTTTCATTTAGGGATTATCTTTTTCTGGAATTCAGGATACTTTTCTCAACTTTTAGTTTTTCCAGACATCCAAAACATTTTCCATACATATAAGTTTAGGTGTATATTTTTGTAATATATATATTTTTTTATGTTTTTTCACTCATCTTCCATACAAAAATTATAAAAAGTTTTGGAAAATTTTTTGAAACAATTCAGCTAAATTCAAAATTAAGAGGAAAATAAAGGAAAATATATTCCGGAATTTTTGCAGATATTATACCCAGCAACTCAGTCATGGTATAGTCCCTTGCACTTACTCTTCAACATGTTAATGAGAGATATGTTAATGAGTCAATAATCTTCATCATGTTAATGAGAGACATGTTAATGAGTCAATAATCTTCAACATGTTAATGAGAGACATGTTAATGAGTCAATAATCTTCAACATGTTAATGAGAGACATGTTAATGAGTCAATAATCTTCAA